TACCTTAGGTAAGGTAACTAGTAAACAGTAAGCATGGCAGGCAATAGGCGCTCTATGCGCTAGAAGCTGGGTGATACGGCAGCCCAGCCCAAAATTAACCTTAATCAAGCACCAAGTCCATGAAACGCATTTCTATGCAGACATGATGTCTTGGCATCCTAAAAAAAAAAAAAAAGATAAGAAAAAAAAGAGGGCAACAAAGAAGTGCATGGCTTGTGATTGAAGTGTTTCTCCATCTTGATTCCAGAACCTTGATTGTTCTCGAACGCGTGCTTTGCCAAGACCCAGGTAATCGTTCGTGTCTTGGCGGAGAAGACAATAACGCACCACCCAGTGCACCACCACCACCACACTGAGCCCGGGGTTGATCACCAAAACGGTTCGGGCTTGTTTTCACAACCAGAGACAAGGAACAGACCGGGTGCGGATGAGCTGCGGTGCAGTGCAGATCGGGGAGTTGTCGGGTTCGAGTGCATCAATGTTGTGATACGTAGCAGTTGGTCAACACACCAACGAGTTCAAAAACAAAATATGCCCACTGTAAAACGGGACAAAGATCATGATGCATCTGCACGGCCGTGTCGGATCGTCGATAGTCAACTTGTACCTCTCGACATTGATAATTAGTCTTATTCCCCCCCGGCCGTGCTTCCGTCCCGTGTCTCCGAGGCAGTGTGTCGTTTACTGCTGAATAGGTATGCATCTTCATGTCACATCCCGCCAATCACCCTCCCGACTCTTCAACCAAGAAGAGCAACGTGGCTTCTAATAGACTGAATCGAGTTCCCATGACGAAAAAAAAAAGGAATCCGCCCGCTCCCTAAGCCTATTCCCTCTTCCTCCTCTTTCTTCTTCCTCATCCTTCCGCCGCCGTCGTCGCAGATTGCTGCCAAACGCCAAGCCTCTTGGTCGCTGGTAGAGCCCGTATTTCTTACTGCTTTTCGCCTGCGAGCAGCCTCAGCTAGTAACAAAACTGGTGACTGCACGCATCCACACCAGTGTCTTGGCGACAACGGGCAGAGGGCAAAATCCTATCTTGAGCTGGAATGCAGAAATGTCCAAGCCCGCCCGCCATAAGCCGCGCGGCGCGGCGAGAAAGGGAAGAAAAAAAAGGTTTTGATTCCTGCCTCATCTGTAAAGTGAACTAGTTTCGGTCATGTTGCTGCTCAATCGTGTTGCATGTTTTGGTTGCTTGATGAGCTTCAAAGCTTGCCTCCAACTTGAGCATTTCTTTGTAAGAACCACGCAACTCCTTTGAAGCGTAGTCTTTGACGTCACACCACAATTGGGTGTCAATGAGCAGATCGCCCTTCCTTTTTTGCAGCCCTCATTTTTGCGGACAGCTATCCCCGGAGATGCACCAAAACCACGGCACTCCTTCTACTTTTTTCTCACCCGCCTCTTGGCATTTTACATTTTCACTGCCACGATTTTTTCCTTTGTAAAAATAGATTGGTGAGATCTCTTATCGTGCTGCGCCTTGCTCGCCGCGCATGTGGTTCGGGTTAACCCGAGAGACGAGCGAAGCAACAAAGGCCGAGAGAACCTTCCAACGGTTCATACAGCAGTAACCATACAGCAGCATATTTTACTGGTTACTGGTTGAGTCAGGCTCGTTTTCGCCCGGGCAATGTTTGCGGCGCCGCCAGGTGGGGCCCCCCGGCGCCGCCAAGCCGAAGAACCCATGCTCCGGATGTGGGGCACCACTTCTCGGCGGCCTTGGGCCTTTTACCTACGTCAAAACCTTATCTTGGGGGTGTGGGCGAGTTAGCTGCAAGGGCATCTGGCGCGGGCGAAACCTCCCACACGTTATTCCTGCTTGGCATCACAAGTACTTATAGTACCGTCTCCCCCCCGCCTTTCCCCAAGGCTGTTCGAAATCTAGATCAATCTATGGCCAACGTTTTTTCTTGAACGAGGAAGCATCAATAACACTTCTTCCTACACTCGGGAATATAATTAACCCCAAAGCTTCCAAAAGTCCTACCTACGTGCAAGAGGCGCCCTTGACCGCAAAGGGATTCGTCTTTTGTTGTCTTGATCGTCAGCGGGAAACACAGTCTTTCCCAATCCACACCGTCTATGCATCACCTTCGCACCTTCATCAGCCTCTGCCCTCCCTCCGAGCAGCGCGGTTCCTCTACTACCCCAGTCGCCGTCGTCGTTGCCTCCTCCACCTGCGACAATGGCTGAGTTCCCCAAGCACCCGTTCCTCCTCTCCGTCGGCGAGACAGCCGACGCCCTCTCCACCGATGTCGACAAGGGCCTCACCTCGGCGCAGGTCGCTCAGGCGACTGAAAAGTATGCCAAAAATGAGCTCGATGTGGGCGGCACCATTGCCTGGTATAGTATCCTGACGAAGCAAATTCTCAATGCCATGATTATTGTAAGCATTTCCATGCCTCTTTTGGCCCATCGACTCCGTGCTAATCCAGACTTTTCGCTAGGTCCTCGTTTTTGCCATGGCCCTGAGCTTCGGCATCAAAGATTACATCGAGGGCGGTGTTCTTGCCTGTGTCATTTTCCTCAACGTCACCATCGGCTTCTGGCAAGAGTACCGCGCAGAAAAGCGCATGGACGCACTTCGCGCCCTCTCGTCCCCCAGTGCCATGGTTCTCCGTGACGGCAAGACCCAAGTCATTTCCAAGTATGTTTTCCCTTTTGCAGATAACCCAAAATCAATCATCCTAATCCTCTGTCGACAGCCCCGACGTCGTGCCCGGCGACATTGTCCTCCTCAAGACGGGCGACACCGTCCCTGCCGATCTCCGTCTCTTTGAAGCCATGAACTTGGCCTGTGAAGAAGGCCAGCTCACTGGCGAATCGATCCCCGTCGAAAAGATTGTCGACAATAATATCCACACCCCTGGAACCGAAAAGCTAGCGACCTCGGAGCAGGAAGTCGGAATCGGTGACCGCGTCAACATGGCTTACGCCACCACCGTCGTCCGAAAGGGCCGTGGTCGTGGTATCGTAACTGCCACTGGTATGAGCACCGAGGTCGGCAAGATTGCCGCCTCCACCTCCAAGAAGCAGCGCAAAGCCGGCCGCTCCATGAACTGGCGCAAGTATGGCAAGCGCCAGCCAGTTGTTGGCCTGGCTAGACGTACTTACGATGTTATCGGCAAGTTTTTGGGTTTGACTGAGGGCACTCCTCTTCAGCGAAAACTATCAGCCCTTGCCTACGTCCTCTTTGGTTGTGCCATTATCCTAGCCATGGTCGTTTTTGGCGTCAACCACTTCAATCTTCGCAATGAAGTCATCATCTATGCCACCTCTCTCGGTATTGCCATTATCCCTGAGTCCCTTGTCGCGTAAGTACAGATCTTCCACGTTTCCAGAGTATGACTTCGCTAACACGTGAATGCAGTGTCCTTACAATCACCATGGTCGTTGCTGTCACTGTCATGCGCAAGGCCAACGTCGTCGTGCGCGATCTCTCTGCACTGGAAGCCCTCGGCGGTGTCACCAATATTTGCTCTGACAAGACTGGTACCCTTACCGAGGGTGCAATGATTGTCCGCAAGGCTTGGATTCCCAGCAGTCACATTTACACTGTGCACGATTCGCAGAGCCCTAATGACCCAACCAAGGGTCGCGTCACATACGCTCTCAACAAAGACGAGCCCGTCACTGAGGCGCCCAAGCGAGATTACGACCGTGAGCGCAGTGCTGCTGTTCTCAAGTTTGATGTTCCTGACGAGAAGCTCAACCCCAAGAGTGAAGCTGAGCCAGCCCCAGCTGAAACGCCGTGCGAAATGACGGATGAGCTGAAGGCATTCCTGCTCTCGTCGTCTCTCTGCAACCTAGCCACCGTTCGCTTTGACAAGGAAGAAGAAAAGTGGCAGACCACTGGTGAGCCCACCGAGGTTGCACTCCAAGTGTTTGCTCACCGCTTCAGCCTTGGAAAGAAGTCGCTCGAGGGCCAGGGCTGGAAGCAGCTAGCCGAGTTCCCCTTTGACAGTTCCATCAAGCGCATGTCCGTCATCTATGATGCCCCCGCAGGCGAGAATGGCTCAATTATTGAGACCGCCACCAGCATGGTCTTTACCAAGGGCGCGGTCGAGCGCATTCTAGATCTTTGCTCATACGTGGGGACTGGCGCTGACCAGCAGCCCGTCACCGACGAACTCAAGGAAAGCGTTCTCCAGCAGATGAACAGGCTAGCCTCTCAGGGCCAGCGCGTCCTTGCCATTGCGTACCGCGCATGGGATGGCAAGTTCACCGCAAAGCAGTCGTCCAGTGCCGCCGAAGACGAGAAGCTCCGCGGTGAAGTCGAACAGAACCTCACTTTACTCGGCCTTGCTGGTATCTACGATCCCCCACGTCGCGAGACCAAGCCCTCCATTGCCGAGTGCTCCCAAGCCGGTATCAAGGTACACATGCTCACTGGTGACCACCCCGAGACTGCCAAGGCCATTGCCAAGGAAGTCGGCATCATCCCCAAGAACCTGGGCGTTTTACCCGACAGTGTTGCCACCTCTATTGTCCAAAAGGCCACCGACTTTGACAAAATGTCAGACGCCGAGATTGACGCGCTGGAAGAGCTTCCTCTGGTTATCGCTCGTTGTGCTCCGGACACCAAGACTCGCATGATCGAGGCTCTGCGTCGCCGCGGTGCCTTTATGGCCATGACTGGTGATGGTGTCAATGACGCCCCTTCTCTGTCCCGTGCCGACGTCGGTATCGCCATGGGCTCCGGTTCTGATGTTGCCAAGTCGGCCTCCAAGATTGTGCTGACTGACGACAAATTCAACTCTATTGTCGCTGCCATTCGGGAAGGTCGCCGCATGTTTGACAACATTCAAAAATTTATTCTTCACTTACTCACGTCCAACGTTGGCGAGGTCATTCTTCTGGTTGCCGGCCTGGGCTTCGTCGATCGCGATGGCTTCTCCGTGTTTCCCATTTCCCCTTTGCACATCATCTGGATCAATATGGTCACTTCATCGTTCCCCGCCTTTGGTCTCGGTCGTGAGCCTGCTGCCCAGGATGTCATGCGCAAACCTCCTCAGGACAAGCGTCGCGGTGTTTTCACCAACCAGATCATTGTTGACATGGTCATCTATGGCATCATGATGGGTGCCTGCACCATGTGCACTTTTGTCATCATCATTTACGGCCGTTATAATGGCGACCTTGGTGCAAACTGCAACACGGCGTATTCTGACGAGTGCCAGCCTGTGTTTAGAGCCCGTGCTGCCACCTTTGCGGAGCTTACCTGGTTGATTCTTATCTCTGCTTGGGAGTTTAAGAGCCTCCGCCGTTCCATGTTTCGCCTCAACCCCGATGATGACAGCAAGTTTCCCTTCTTCAAGGACGTTTACAGCAACCGCTTCTTATTCTGGTCCGTCATCTGTGGTGCTCTATCGGTCATCCCCGTTGTGTACATTCCGGAGTTGAACACCAAGTTCTTCAAGCACGCGCCCATTTCCTGGGAGTGGGCACTGTCGGTCGGGTTCACGATTGTTTTCGTCGCTGGTATTGAGGGCTGGAAGTTTGCCAAGCGCCAGTTCGGTCTGCTCCAGGATCGTGCCGTTCAGCGTGGTGCCTGGGGCCAGGGAGGGCCTGATGAGTCAGGAGTCAAATTTCGCAAGACCATGTCCATGTCGAGCTTCAAGACGTGGGCGTCATTCTCGCGCAAAGAAACGGGTGAGACATTGTCCAAGAGCAACACTCAGATGTCTGGCGCCAAAAATTCTAGCATGGCTTAAAAAGCAGAAGGGGCCGTTTGCATGCGTGCGGTGGGAGGCCGTCGACAAGCACTCGACAGTGCTATTTGGTTTGAAACGCATTTCTGCATCATGCATAATTGATAGATAATAATGTTCACATGATGAAAATGATTGAAAATGACTTGTCAAATGACAGATGCCGTGCCTTGTTTGCACTCGTGACCAGGATATGCAGGGACAAAGAGGAGAAGCCATCGCCCGCTCAGCTCATCCGAGTTTCGGAGATTTTCCTTTCCCCGCCAAGCAGCCCCACCAGATGCCAAAAGTCGGGCCCTTGCCCCCTTTGTCAGCCTTCGCGTAAGCTTTGCAACATCGTCGTGTGCTCGCCTTTTGTCCTGCGCCCTTTGTCCTGCTTTGCCTGCTGAGTTGGTTGAAATTTTTCTGATGCGTGATTTCTCATCTCAAACTGTCACCTACTGCACGTCTTCCATCTTGTATCACGAGCGCTTCAGTTCCTACTCTTTCTAGTCGCCGTTGCCGCCTTTAACACCCGGATACGACTCGCCTCTTGTTCTACACCGCCTCTAAGCCCAAATACTAGTTGCGAGGGGAACGCCCGCGTGCCGTTGGCGAAACGCCCTCAGCCGCTCGCCACTGACTCATTCATTCCCAGAAGGCTACTGCAGCGCGATGCTGCTTCGTGTACACAGCCAAGATAGCGCAGCATCGTGAGTGTATCTTGATTGTTCATGTCTGCAGCCCGGTCAGCGGTAGCGTCGAGCTTTTCTTTCCAACCTCAAAGAGACATCGTCTACCTCGTACACACATGTCGCTTCAGGAGAAAAAAGCACGCCTCGAGATCCCGGCGCCAAGGTTACCCGAACAGTACACTGTTGGTCGACTCAGGGTTGGCGAGACATTGCAAAAGGTAAAGCCACCAACACCATAGTGCGGAATTTCACCTCACTGTGACTATGTGACTGATGCCTTTTCCATCTTGCTCGGGCGCTATAGATAAGAGGTACAGCCCAAGATCTGTACAATTTTCAAGACAACATTGGCGGCCGTTCCGCCCTCGTACACGGCTCTCAATCTGGCGAAGCACAAGACGTTGATGGGCACCAGAGACATGACATGACCAAACTTCCTCGAGAAACGAGCCATGACTCAAGCATATCGCGAAGCTCCGACAAAAGCCTCCATGGTCCAAGCAAGTCACGATACTCTAGCGAGAGCCACCATGGCTCACTATGCTCTGACGAAAGTCGCCGCCTGAAGTTATCTAGAAGACAATCTGGTGCTTCTTTCGGCTGCGGAGGCCCCTCTAGCCAGCAGCAGCAATTTCGGGTAAGTATGCGTCAAGCTGGTTCCTGGATCGCGACACCTCGTATACTCACCTGGCCTCGAGAAATTTCTAAGGACTGCTGACATTTCCTGTCACCAATGTGGTGAAATCAAAACTCCGGAATGGCGCCCTGGTCCAGAAGGTCCAGGGACGCTCTGTAACGTCTGTGGGCTTATCTACGCAAAGCACGCAAGCCAGCGGCGCCACGATAAATTGAAATCAGACCAGACAAAAAGTTGCCGTACAGCGTGAGATGCCTATTCTGGTTTCAGGTGCTGCAAGATGTTGATCTATCCGTACGTTGGCCGGTTTAACGACTTCTCGTTATACGACTGTCACCTTGGTTTTTCTTGAACTGCCACGAATCTGTTTTGCTTAAGATTGTATCTTTTCGGCGCAGAGCGATTAGTCAATCAATATCTTGTGTGAAATAGTGTTCCTCCTCGGCGCCCATCGATGAGATGGATACAGGAACGAGGCAAACGCACAGGAGATGAAAACAATCGACCTCTCGATATGGAAGTGCCCAACACCTTTCGATTTTCTGCTGTGAAGCTTGTCTTTCCGGATCCTAATTGCTTTGCTTTCTTAGCCTTTAAGTTTGGGTGCAATTTTGTGTATCTCGGCATGTAATTACCCGAAAGTGCGAGTTCTGAGTGACCTGTCAGAAACGGTTACTACCGGCTACGGGTGCGCTCATTTCGGTACGAGAGCTGGCGGGCAAGGCAGCAATCTACATTGATTGCAATGCTTCATCGGAAGTGTTTTGCAAAGCATGTTACATCAATGCAACACGATCCAAATCTCTTCGCTCATCTCAATACCAGCTGAAAGCGGCCCGAAGCCACGCGGTCATCGAGCCCAGATTGGTCATATTGCCGGGTACAAGAATTGACGAAGACCTCAAATGTAGCGTCCCCCCGAAATATAACCAAAATCGAGGAAACAATCACACATATGAACATCGTCTCCCGACTCTTCCTGCGTTGCTTGGCCAGAGATTCCAGTCAAGTCTGAAGCAACAAAGGGTGAAATTGCCGGAAAGAAATAATCCAGACCATTCAAAAACACCTCTGTCAGATTTTTTGTGACTGAAAGATGTTTTCTGAGTCCAAAAACCGATCTGCTACCATATCAGGTGTCGCACACCGCAACTGCGACATCAATTGTACCCCAAAAGTGGTACGATATTCATAAAACAGAAGTTACGCCTTCTCTGCCCTGCAATCACAAATTGTGAGGGGCTCGTCTGTATCAGGCATCAAGAGCCGGCGTCGTGGACATGCTGCGATTTCTCCTGTACGAAACAAACTTTAAATGTCGACTCGTCTATGTGGCGAATAGTATTAATATGCAAGAGACTGCACTGAGAACCATTGTGGGCGAGTGCTGCGATCGGAGCCAAGACCATTGGAGAGTGCCAAGGCAGGACCTGCCAGATTGCAAGGTGTGTGGCCTTGGTCTGGGCCGCCTCGCGTCCCCGACAGCCCTTGAATTTGCATGGCCAGTGAATCACAACTGGATAAGGTCTTTGAACTGTCATGATGTTAGCTTCATATATTCTTGAACTACAACATGGTCGGAAGGCTAAATTTGAACCGCAAAGGACCTACGGGCAGGGCCAGGGACGTAATCATGCTCGAGCATGGCAGACTGGGCCTTGGTACGCCCGTCCTACCCAAGCCACGAATACTATACTTTGCCATCTAGTTGGACCTCGAGCTCAGAGGCCGGGTACGCATGCCTTTCGCGGTTGCCGTTCTGTTCAGACGGAAGTGGTGAGCGGTAGGCATACTGCTGGCTACACGGACTGCACATCGTCCATGACCGTACCCTAGACCAGACAAGAGAAGACTTCTCTCAACATCTTTTTGCCCCAACATAGAAGTCCTCGGCCGAAGGACCGTCTCCACTCGATATCAATGCGTTGCCCACAGAATGGCGAGGGTTCGAGTGGACCGATGATGGTAATGCCTGCCTCTCGGCCAACTGTAATTTGTTTTTTTTTTTTTACAGATCGAGCAGTGCCACTTGCTGACATGTGGCTTTTTGATAGAAAGAGAAAAAAAGACGGGGATAATGGAGAGTTCCCGTTATTTCTCTGTGCCGACTCTTCCACGCGAAAGCGTCGATCATGTTCGTTGTGGCGTGGCCAGAGATGGGCTCTCGGCAGTCCTTGGAATCTGCTTCGGTTCTCCGGCGACGCGGGCATGTAAACAGAAAATTTTTTTTTTTTTCCTTCTCGTCAGAACGGAGCTATGCCCGACAATGGAAGGTTCTGGTTTCAGAAAGGATGTGCGTTTCGATATGGAAACTGGCCTGACCCCAGAGGAACCTTCCCCCCCCCCCCCTCCACGATGACCCTGGTTGCTGGTGACGACTGCCAAGACGCTGCTTGGTGATGCTTATCTTATACGGTGGCAGGAATTGCTCACAAATAAGTCGAGTGTGTTTGGATGATCAAGTGTACGAGAAAAAGTCACCGTTCTCGGCATAATGCATGCACTCTCGTGTGTAACCTCGCCGCGCGGCCATGATTTGCAATTGGCCATGAGCCGGGCCAACAGGAACCCCAGACTGCACACATACTCAGACTCTGCATCTCAACATTGTGCATATTAGTGTGATGACAATATGTACGCGTTTGTGAGTAGTAATATTGCTCCTTGCGAAATTCGGCGGGAGCCGTAACTCTGCGGCAGCAGCAGCCACCTTCCCCGGCAGATCGTCGCTGAGGATGACTACGACGTACATTGAAGTCACGGAATTTGCTGGCATGCCTGCATTAGGGCCCGCGCTGCAGGACGCGGCCGCCACTCACGAGCTGTTTTACAAGTTTTGCTCCTCTTGACAAAAGTCCTTCTTCATCTTGGGGGTCTCTGAGACTTTGACTTGGTCTTTGAAACGGGCACTGCCCCAGGGAAGAGGTGGGATAGCAAATGCTTTTCTCCACGGCCCCGTCATAAAGACACAATGACGAGCTTCGATCGCGACAATCTGGGGACTGTGGCAAAATTGTACACATGCCGCGATTGGTGGCCTCGGATGGTCAGAGGCCTAGGTAGGCAAGTGGTTTGCCCTGAGACGTGTGCTGCGAGGTGGGATCACCGCAAGTGCCGATGCCTCTCAGCTCCATTAGCCTACACATACCAAGTACCGCGGCGAAATTCATCCCGGGAGGGGTGGATAGATTTCTCCAAGACCTTTCATCTAGAAGCTTGTCGGTGCCACCCCAATGCCAAGAGCCAGCGTCGAGCTGCCCTGCGGGGGGCGGGCGTGCGTGAGCATTGGGGATTGCATCAAAGTTTCAGGAAAGACCACTTGGGTAGTAGGGGGTTATGAGGCTCTTCTAAGAATTGGTTTACTTTTTTTTTTCTGTTCATACATGTTGCTGTTTAATAATAAGCTTTTGCGGACGGATGCTTGGCGTGGGAGCGTCTTTGCGCAAGTATCAGTTTTTCTTACAGCCTCGAAATCCCGTCAGACTCGCAAGGTTTCCTCTAGCTCGTCATCTTTGACGGAATAAGTAGGCGGCGGTGGGTGCAAAGCTATCAAATTCACCAACACGCCCCCCTGTTGCGTGGCATGTGGGTAAGAAAATAAGATGGCTTCTCAAACAAGGCAAAGCCAATAAGACGCATAACTAGGGAGTTAGTCTCTACTCTTCTTTTTCACCTTTATTTCTTCTTCCCTT